GGGGGGGTGTTGGGGGGGGGGGGGGGGGGGGGGGAGGGCAGCAGCAGTGGGTGCTCCGGGGCTGTGGATGCGCCACGCGTCCTGTAACGTTAGGAAAGGAGGGAGCAACATTTTTTAAAAGCTTTACTCCGTCATTAAAAGGTAATGGCTTTGTTTTAGAAGGGAAAGGGAGAGGGAGAGGTTCATTTGAAGGTTATAAAGCATACACTTTAATAGGATCGAAGTGAAATTAGTTAATAAGAAAATGCTGGCCAGAAGCTCTCCGGGCTTTTAAGTGCTCTCCAGGCCATTTAGGGAAATTGAATAAGAACAGACTCCGTTACCTGCAGCCCCAACTATTATCTCCAGTTCTGCGCAGAGGCGAGAAGGGAAAAATAGCGCCTGAGAGACCTGAAGTCCCGTACACCTCCTGCCAGCCTATTTCCTCGAGAAATAATGTCCCCTTTCCGCCGCAACCGTGTTCTCCTCCTTGTGCTGCTTTTCAGCAGACCAGACTACACTGTGTACCACAAGGGGGTAAGCAAAGGTAAGGGGCCATCAGCGGATGCTGAAGGAAGGCTCCGGGGGCAGCTCTGAACAGCAGCCTGGTCCCCGCCTGGGCAAAGCTGGCCTCCTGGTGTTATTTTTTTCCCTTCCATTTCTCTGAGGTTTTTTTTTCCCCACCATTGTGGTGCTTTGCTGATTTGCGTTCGGACCGTTGCCAATAGGTCAGTGTATTGTGTTACCTAACTTCCTCTCTGCTCCCTTTCTCCCTCCCTGTAAACTTTATAGTTTTTAGAGGTGTTAATAAAACCTTTCCTTTGGTAAATCGTTCATTAGAAACCCCACCGAAACCTGGAAAGACTTCAGAAAAAAAGCAGCGCTCAGGAATGAGAGGTTGGGAGAAGGCTTTTGTCCAAAAAATGCATAATTGCTGTGAATCTTAGGAAACATTAATCTTTATAGGAATTCGTGATTCATATCTGTGGTTTGACCGTTTAGGTGATTTACAATCTGTTAGTGCAATTCACTAATTTTATGCCAATATATTTTATGCACCCGGTTAGACTTTCCATCGTCCATCGGAATGAGCGGCTTTTGTGTCTTGCTGGTGTCGGTGTGGCTCTTAGACTCCGACCTCCGGCGGCGGATCTTCCCGGCGCTCCTCGGGAGCGGAGAAGCGGGCACAAAGTGCACGCAACTGTGGGAAACTTCCCCTCGCCATTTTCCGTCACATCTTTCCTCGCCCGCAGCCCCGGGGCTGAGCGGCCGGGCAGGGGCCGCCCCCCCTCCCCCGCCGAGCCCCCGCCTTCCTCCGCGGCTGCGGGGATGTGCGCGGCTCCGGC